TTCCGCCTCAGCCTTCCAAGTAGCCAGAATTACAGGTATGCGCTACCACGCCCGGCTGATTTTTTTTTTTTTTTTGTAGAGATGAGGTCTTGCTGCCCAGGCGGGTCTCGAACCCGCGTTTATTTTTTGAGTTGGAGTCTTACTCCATCGCCTAGGCTGGAGTGCTGTGGCACACTCACAACCAACTCAGGTGTTGACTTGCTAGGCTCCAGAGATCCTTCCAAGTAGCCAGAACTACAAGAGTACGCTACCACACCTGGCTAATTTTTTATTCATTGTAGAGTTGAGGTCTCACCAAGTTGCCTGAACTGGTCTCGAATCCACGGGCTCAGGCAATCCACTCGCCTCAGCCTCCCAAAGTGCTGGGATTGCAGGCTGAGCCACCGAACCTGACCATTATTATTATTTTCTATGGACATACATCTGTTCCCTTCCTTTATGGCATCTCCTTACTTTAATGTTGTATAATTATTTTTTAATCTGTTTTTAGAAGAAATCATCATTTCTGCCTCTTGGAACATAAATAACCAAAATTTAATTCACTTAATTCCTCATTTCGTGCTTTATAAGCACTGTTGACTTAAAAAACGTGTGCTCTCTGGGCTGCTCTAACACCCTCCACCAGGCTCAAGGGCTGTTTAGCTGGCCACATACTAGATGTAGATAGTAAGGGAAAATGTTGCTCTCCATTCAACAAAAGAAGTCAATGCATAGACTACAGATAGTTCAAGTTTAGGAAACTCTTTTGAGTAGAAAGCTATTCTTAAATTGGAATCCTGCCCTTTTTTAATGAGTTGTATGTTTTCTTTCTATCACTGTTTGAAGTGCTTTAGATTAGTTGCTTATAGATAAGGTGACTTTGCCATGAAGCAATTGAAGAAACCGGAGCCAGGGCTTACCATTTGTGCTCAGAGCCAATAATGAAATAGCAGCCCTGGATATTGTGTGTCTCCATCCTGCTTGCAGACTTAACAAAACTGCATTCCATTAAATCAGGAGTCTCTTCTGATTGAAAACTATCTGCACGTGGCCACAGTACATTATAATGGCCTTTGTTACTACTGACAATAATAGGTATTCTTTTCAAGGAGTTTGCTGTGTGGCAGCTATTTGCTAGGTGCTTGCATGTACTATTTCAATGGTTTTCTTTCTTTCTTTCTTTCTTTATATATAGTGACTATAGTTATTTTATTTTATTTTTTTAGTTGGAGCCTCACTCACCCAGGCTGGAGTGCAGTTCATTGGTTTTCATAACAACCCAATGAATTTTTATAACAATCCATTTCATAGACAAGGAAATTAAGGTTTGGCAATGTGCAATAACTTATTGAGTGCTTGAGGGGAATCAGATCTGACTCAGACTCCTGACTGAGTCCTGAGACCTCATTTGTTCTTTTCATGCCATTTCAATGTTCAGATAAAAATGGATCTGGTTTTATGGGGTGTGAGATCAACCCTAACTTCTCTTAACTCCCACCCTCTTCAGACTTTTATTGGACGTTTTCGCCGCATCATGGACTCTTCCCAGAATGCTTATAATGAAGACACTTCTGCACTGGTAGCCAGGCTAGACGAGATGGAGAGGGGCTTATTTCAAACAGGACAGAAAGGACTGAATGACTTTCAGTGTTGGGAGAAGGGACAGGCTTCCCAGATCACAGCTTCTAACCTTGTTCAGACTTACAAGAAGAGAAAATTCACTGACATGGAAGATTGAAATTCAGGAGAAAACAGAATGGCTCCTTATATACTTATCCCTCCAAGTGTCCGTGATAAGAACTGGTTAACTTTGTACAGGACCAGAATCCTTCCCATATCATGGGTGATTTCCTGTAGGAGTCTCAGAAGTGGTACCATTTGGTGGACATTGACATGCTGGAGGAAGTCCCTGGCCCTATAAGTCTTCCAGGACTGTCCCACCCTGCGGATCCACAGTTCATGCCCAAAACCCACAGCCAAGGAGAAATCAAAGTTCTTCCTAAATAAGGATCATTGACATAAACATCACAGTAAGTTGCAACTGGGATTCCTCGTGTCTGGAAGCTTGAATAGCCTCAGATGTCCAGTTTCACTAGCTGCAAAGGGAAGGTACAAACTAGGCCATCTTCACCTGCTCTGAAAATGTTCTCTTGATCTTATTTGCCTCATCTTCCTCATGGTTGTGCAGAAGACAGCATCTCCACCATGCTGGCCTGACTTGTATATATCTCCTGCCGCCCACCTGTGGGGAGTTACCCCAGTTTCCAAAAACAGCCACCAAGAATAAAGAAGGAAAAGGGAAAGGCAGATGAATGGTGTGGCTTTTACTAAAGAAAAGACATTTCTTTCATGCTGTGCACCAGGGCTTGGTGAACTGAAACTCGCGTAACGCTACAGTCATCCTAGAGGGGAAATGGTTAAACTGAGCTTGCTTTTGTCTCAGATCTTCAGAGCACCCGTGCATTTATTCCATTCCCTGTCTAGAAAAGCTGTCAGGGAGTCATTTAGAACTGCAAAGTAGTTATTAAAGGGTGTTAACCCAGCCTTTATTACATCTGGAAATCAGGACTTGAGGGTTGCTGGCTGTGAAAAACTGTGTTTGAGAAACTTAACATAGCAATTATAAGTGGGCAGTAGGACTCGATTGTGTTTTTTTCTCTTTTGTAAATTTTGCAACTTTATCACAGCACATCCCTGACCTAGGAAGCTGTTTAAACAAGCACAAAACTCTTCCCCGGAGGCCTAGGAGGCAACCTCAGGCTGAGTAAGAAACAACATTCCCTGGACTCTTTGGACTGTTCACAGGGCACCACTGCTCCCCCACTGACACCCTAGAACTAGCAAAAATTATCTTTGTCGTTGGGAATTACAGAGGGATTCGAGTTTCCAGATTGTGCAGATGTCTTGATACAAACTTAGAATGACAGAAATGTTTTTTAAATGCCTGTTTTAAGATGGAATTGATGTTTTTATAGTTTGTTCTTAGTGCTGAATAAATGATTGGCTTTTTACATAATTATGTTCTGTACAAGTACTATTTCTATCACTCTAGTACTACAGATGATCAACAATGCTTTGATCATAATTGACAATAATGCTCACATAAATCCATGTTCTAGGAACTGCTCTTTTGCTTATATAATACACATAAATATGAGGTACATTCTCTGTAGGAATGTGCTATGTCCTAGGAAGATGAGATATTTATTACTACCACAGCGTTTATATATAGCTGGGTCCCCAGAAACCATTCATAGAGTGAGAAAAGCAGATTGTTTAACTTTTGGCATCATTCTTTTCGCAGATAGCTTTATATTTAAAGGCAATCCTAAGACTGCTGCCATTTTTTCCTTTTACTAAAAAAATTCCTCAGGGGCCACATGTCAGGAATATGTGGATCTGCATGTGCATAATTTATTTTCTGGTTTAAGTTTTAAATGAATTATATTACACTTAGCTTTTGAAAACCCATGTTCAATTATCAATCTGCCTTCAAGCCTGTCAGGCCACCCCTCTTCCCTGCAGCCCCCAGTCTTTTGGATTACCATTGGGTCCTTTCAAAAAGGTGAATTTTTCAAAAAGACTCCACAAATTCACTCAGATACCAAATTGCTCTCAAAATCCAGGGAGTAGATGTGTGTCCTTTCTCCTGAAGGGCTCTGTTCCCACATAATTGTGGCCTTCATTAGAGACACAAGACCTCGCCATATGCAGGTTTTTATGGGACAACCTGGGTTGCTGGGGGGAGAGGGGCAGGGCTCTGCGTCTGTCAGTTCCTCCTGTCCTCACCGACCTCTGAACTTTGGGCAGCCTCCAAGCTTAATCCTTGGATCTCCAATTGCATGCTGTTGACTCCCAACCTCATACTTCCAGCCCAGTTCTCTCGCTCCAACTCCAGACTTGTATCCAACCACCTGCTTGATGTTTCTACTTCAACACCTGACCTGCCATGGCTGATAAGATTGAGTTCCTAATCTGGTCCCCAACAATCTACACCTCCTCTGATCTTTCCCATCTCTGTTTTTGACAACTCCATCCTTCCCTGTGGCTCAGGACAAAAACCTGGTGTCCTCCCTGACCTTTCTCCTCACTCTTCCATATCTTTTGAGTCTACTTTCCAATCATTCACAGCTTCTGGCCACCTCTCCCCAACTTCTAGTGCTGTCACCCAGGCCCACCATTTCTTTCCTGGATTGTGAGGGTCACCCCCTAGCTGCCTCCCTGTGTTCACCCTCCATACCACCTTCACACTCTTATAGCAGCCAGAGTGGTCTTGTTCAAAAGTAAATCTGGTCTTATCAGTTCTCTGCTCAAAATCCTCCTCCCAGCTCAGAAAAGGGCCACCCAGTCATCCAACATGATTTGTTGAAAAATTCACTTTTACCCCAGAGATGTGATACTGATCTTCCTTAGTGCTTCCACAGCAGAAATGGTTTCTTATTTTAAATAAAAATTCCACTTTCTCCCTAAGAGAACTCTGAACATCTTACAGAGCTGCTCATTAGCCTGTCAGCACTACTGGGCCTGAGAAGTTTCTGGAATACTGTGTCTGAAGTAGTGAAACTGTCATGCAGAAGCATTAAGTGACTCACTCAAGTTCAAACAGCAGTCAGTTCCATCCTGAGTCTATCTGTTCTTTTCTGTTCCGTTATCCTTCAAGAAACCCCAAGAGAGAACTTTTCCTCTCTGTGCTTGAAGCAATTATGTTTAGGTGAAAATATAAAATTTTAGACTGACCTTGGCAAAAGAAAACAACTGCAAATTCTATATATATGTTTCTCAAAGCAGGCATTTTTGTGTTTAGGAGAAAAATCTATATTTGAAGTAACTTGTAGGATATTTGCTTAACTATAAGAATTAGTCTGATAACTGTAATATCGATACTCCTTATCTAGTAAAGGTAAACTTAAAATGTTAATGTTGAGTCCACAGAAATTGTTTAAAAGATAATCAGGGCCAGGTGTGGTGGCTCATACCTGCAGTCCCAGCACTCTGAAAGGCTGAGGAAGGAGAATTGCTTGAACCCAGGAATTCAAGACCAGACTGGGTAACATAACAAGGCCTCGTAAAAATAAAACAGAAAAAAGACAAAAGATAATTAAATGCCCTAAACCTAAAGGAAAAGTATCTAAAAGTTGGGATTCTGTTGCTAAGTCTTGATATTACCCTTTGAATGAGCAGCAGTAAATCTTCCTTCCTTAATAGTATTGAATAAAATGTACAATGAATCACCTCTTCCTGAGAGCAAATGACTAATACAGGTGACGGGTGCAGCCTGCTTTTGTTTGAGCTCATTTTGTTGATTTTTCTAGGCTTTTGCTTTTCTACCTATTTGATCAAAGGAGACATGGAACAACCAGATAAATCTTGCTTGCCAAGGATAGAAGCATTCTTCCTGGCACACAGTCCTGTTGCCTGCTGATGTCCAGGGAAAGGTACAAATGCCACCCCTAAGCAGAGCTCACCTTTCTGTGTCTGCTTTTCTGAGATCAGGGTCAAATCAACTACAGGCATCATTTCATGAAACTTTATTTGGAAATAATTTAGATTTCTAGAACAATTATAAAGATAGGACAAGCCGGGCTTGGTGGCTCAGCCTGTAATCCCGCGCCTTTGGGAGGCTGAGGTGAGTGGATTGCCTGAGCCCGCGGGTTCGAGACCCACCTGGGCAGCGAGACCTCATCTCTACAATAAATAAAAAAATCAGCCGGGCCTGGTGGCGCATGCCTGTAATTCTGGCTACTCGGAAGGCTGAGGCGGAAGGATCGCTGGAGCCCAGCAGGTCGAGGCTGCGGTGGCCAGGAGCGGCGACTGCATTCCAGTCT